TCAATGCCTGTCATCCTAGTGTTCACCAAGTGCTCAAATGCAGTTCAAATACTTAATTTGGTCAATTAATTCCATATATATATGTGTATATATATGTACAGCTACTATATAAAATTTGGAACATGTTGAACCTTCTAGCTGGTGAAAATTAGTAGATGGTGAACTGCATATATTCAAACAGTTGGAGAGTCTTACCGAGATTCTCCTAACCTTATTCAAAGGACCCAGTTTTTGCCTATTGTCCTGTATATGTTTGCTCCTGTCTCAACACAAACCAGCCCTATATTAAAATCCTGCATTTCCAATTTATTATTCAGTTCCTTCCATGTGCAATACACAAATTGCCTTCAGATATCAAGCAGCTATGTAAAATATAAAACACAAAAGAAATTCACGATACCATCAATTACATTCCTGAGTGTTTCCTTTAACCTCTAATGTTTATTTAGTTTGGCTTTAAAGCTAATTGTCCACAGATGTTCACTTTGTATTGATTTGTGCTACATTCCTGTAAAGTTAAAGCATATGATGCAATTGATTTTAATAAGTTCAAGGTAATTTTAGCATTACAACTCCTCAGCAATTTCCTATGTACCCCACGCAGAACCATCATTCACATGTTGACCGTTAGTCTCTATCTTCCTGTTTGTCTGGTGATAATAACAGAGTCTCTTCCACCTGCTCTTTTTGTTTTCTTGCCACTCCACCTTAGGCACCTACAATTGACATCCGGCCTCGGTCAGCTACTATTCAAATGAACAATGCTACACACCTCCAAGAAAGGGATGAAGAATATGGGTATGAGTGTCTTGATGGCAAGGACTGTGCCAGTTTTTTTTGCTGCTTTGAGGATTGTCGAACAGGAGCATGGAGACATGGAAGAATACATATCCGCATTGCCAAAATGGACTCCTATGCCCGCATCTTCTTCCCAACTGCCTTCTGTTTGTTTAACCTGGTGTATTGGGTATCATATCTTTACCTTTAAAAGCAGAAGGAAATCAGTGATATGAGCCTTACTCACTGAATTTCTTAGAGAGATGGTTTCCTAAGTCCACTTGAAGTATTTACGATGCGCTTTATAGTGGTCTGAATTCTTTAGTGCCATAACCCAGTAAATATCAGTCATATCATTTCTCAAAAAATTACCATCAGGTTACTGTGAATTAAATGTCCATTCAACATGCTGAAATAATTTGAAATAAAAATCATAGAAACAAGTAATATACAGCTGTACCTGCTGGAATAGAGAGAAACAGAGCAGACAGGTCAAGGGTAGCATAGCAACATCACTTAATAGTTGGTACTGCTATTTCAAACAAGAGTGAGAGAGGGGAGAATTCCCAGGTAAAGTGCTGTACAGTTTGTTAACATTGGCTATAATTATGCTATAGCTTTATTCTCTGTGGGCTTTTCTTTTTGGAAGAGTCATCTCTCACTTTGAATAGGTATTATTAAGCTAGGAAAGTAACTTCTACTCCCACCAAGATAAAAATAGACCTTTCCCTTTGCCATCCCTTTAAGAGCACATGTACAATGCTGTAAATATTTCAATATCTTGTAGTACATAAAGTCTAGTGCATGCATCTTTTGGGGGCCAAAATAAATTAAACAAAGGTACCATAAATTTTTGTCTTTTATTTTGTGTCTCTGGATGTGCTATTGTAATTGAAATGTGGACTTCTTTTTTTTTTTTTTCCTTGAAAAATTACCCCTTTTCCTCATGCATGGAAGATCCAAGCAGACAGCACTTTCATGTAAGACGTTAGAGAAGCCTTAAGGGTTCAAATAAATAACATGTAGACAAATCTGTATGGCCAATACAATAGCTCATAAAGTATACTGTATGTGTCTGCTGCAGTTGTAGCCTTCATTTTCCACTGATAATGTTGCTATATTTCAACTGAATTTCCAGTAATTATACATTGCAAAATCAGCTTCCGAATTTAATCCATGTGCTTCTATTGTTCTTTTCCTATGTTGAGCTCTACTTTTTTCCTTACACAAGTGTTTGTGGATTTTTTTTATTATTATTTAATCTAGTCCAGGAAATAGCTCTTATTCTAGACATTTTTTTTTTTTTACATAAGAGCTTCAAGTTCATTTTGAAACATTAGATTTTGTATTATATATACACATACAATTCTCTGCCCATTCATGTCCTTGATCAGCAATAGTTGTCAGTGCTGCTTTTCACTTGGTGAGTACCTTTACAAAAACAAACCTTTACCATGGCTAGCACAGTTTATAGATAACCCTGAAAACAAAAGGGAACAAATGGTGTCTTGGCTACTAAATCACATGTATGCAGTTTATGTGTATTTAAAACCTTCAGCCCACCTGGGTGAATCTTGAAAACCATTTATCCACTGGTTTTCAGAACCTGTACGATGTTCAATTATGCAACCTTAAGCACATGTAAATATGACTGACCTTTTTTTTAATTGACAAAGATGTAAAATGTCACCTCCAGGAATGTGGGCTTGCAGATTGAAGAGGGAGATATATAACTTATCATTACAGAATTATTAATAGCTAAAATGGAGGAAAAGGAAAGTTTTCCAATGTTTGTATAGTTTTGGAAATAAAAATGTATAAAAAAGGAATAACTCTTGATCATCAATTGCTCCTTGCCCAATGTATTTGAAAACATTTTAATAAAGGAATTGCACACACCTGTGGACTTTTTCAATAAAACTGCTGCACTCAATTCCAGTTTTCTTGTGATTAGTTTGTTAAAAGCATGCTTCAAGGACTAGACTTCTTGACTAGTCTGATTCATCAGCTGCCTAAATATAAGTGAATTATAATCCTAAATAATCCTCATAACCCTCTGCATTGTCTCATTTTGTAGTCAAATGGCTCACCCACATAACTTTCAAGGATGGAGACTAAATCTTTACAACCATTTTGAAGATTATTTTATTTAAAAAAAAAAAAAGTCACTGAATTGGAAGTATCCTAATAAAGAGAGATAGCCTTTCTTTATCTACTTAAAGTAGAAAATGTCTCCACTCCCTGAATGAGTGTCAATCATCTTTCACAGGGAAATGTGTTTCAGCTGTTGCCAGACATTC